GAAGACAATAATGTTGAACAAGTACTTAATTATATTTTCCGTTTGAAATAATTACGGTGTACAAATCGTTCGCAAGATAATTACAAACAATTGCAACAGAAACTCGTAAAGGTTCAAATAACTTGCGTTCTCATTACTATCTGTAATATATATACACACACGATTACCGATTTTATGGTACTGTAATGTTCGTGGGTTTAACAAAATTAACTTCCAAGACTGATAATGACAAAAACTATTTATTTACACTAATTATTAATATATCACTATTCACTGCGCTATTTATTTCACTGCTATCACTGTCAATTTATTTCTGAATTCACTTCTGCAACGGTCAATTTATTACTTCGCTTCTCGGCGATCGTCTCTTCCTTTAAATACTCTTTTGTTTACTTTCGGGAGCCTTCTCGAAACATCCGGATGGTTTATTTTTTTCTTTGAACTGTTTAACTGCTTTCCCAGAACGCAGGTACGACACACAAATTTACAAATACGGCACACATGAAGAAATGCACCCGCTGCTAGTTGGCGAATCGATACGCCGTTCACACACACGTGTGCCCTATCGCACACAAACACACTCGTGCTCGCTACAGTACTAAAAGATGCAGATTTTGTCATTTCTGCATAAAAACTTATAAAAAAAGATAATAATGTGATAAACTAGTTGACAGGCAATACGTTTTCATGTGATAAGACATAGAAAATTTCATTGTTCATCCTAAGGGATTAAACTAGTTGACAGGCAATAATATTACGTTATAATACGTAAGCAAAATACATTTTGTGGATATTACGTATTTGGTTTGTTCTCTTATTAGTGTTGTGTACACCTAGCACAAGACACAGCAGCATATGAAAGACCGTGTCCTGCGCCTCCACCATTTCGTTGACTAAGGAATTCGATGAAGAACCTCCTTGACTTGCTTAGTTCGTATAATCGACATTTATTGTGGTTAATTAGTGATTAATAGGTATTAGTGAGTATAAATTCATTAATGAAGATTTTTGATGCTCTGCATTTTTCAAGAATTTGATTAGTGTGTAGTAGGCAAGAAACTAAACAAAATGATAGATTTGATGGTGAAACACCTTTTGTTGATAAACACATATTCCGTAAACCGGATAGGATCCATTTGAGGCGTCGCGTCGATTGAAAAGTCTTCTTTGCTTAATTAAACTTGGTTTCGAGATCGAATGACCGAATAAATTTTCAAACTCTCGCAGACAAAGAGATCGTACTGGATTACTCTCATTCTAATGCCTTCCAGATATGCCGAGCGTAAGCAGCGAGTGTGCCAACTGATTGAATTAAATTAACTCTCCCGACGCGCTTAATTTGTTAAGTCCATCTCATCCACGTCCATTGCACAAGTTTGTCCCTAGAGTGATTTTGGTATGCAAGTGGCTGGAAAATTTTACACCTCGACATAATAATCGTTCGGAGTTACTTGTTGGATTCGGAAACGTGAATAATAATTCTTAAATTGACGGTAATCTGGATATAATGGTTTTGTAAATTATTAAATTACATTGATCTACTAGTTTTAATATTAATGAAGGCTGAAGGGATGAAAATTGATCGAAGTTTTAAGAATTCGTAATGGATTGAGTTGAAGAGAACTATTTTGACAATTGGTCTACCAAACTTTTGTAAATTTGACTGAATTTTCTTCGTTAACATTTTCTTTCCTGATAAAGAGATAAGATTGTTAATAGAAGGTTTCTCCTTGTGAGATTTTCCTGCTGCTTTACTTTGGTCATATCTATACTCTGATGGGCTAGTTATAAGGAAAAACAGTTAGTCTTAAGTAATGTCTACATGAAAGGGAGATGCAAGAAAGTTAAATCGTCAATGGCTAAACTATTTGACATGCGACATTCTTCGAAGGGACTAGACGTAGCACATTAAGAACGTCAATAATAATGGATTAAGCTAGTTGACCAGCGACAGATAATTTGACTAGGTGTAAGAAATTTAGATCGTAAGTAGCAATCGATTAATCATTTATAGTTGACAGACGATAGGTTTTAAGATCAGACGTAAGAAAGTTATATTGTGAATAGTAATACATTAAACTAGTTGACAGGCACAGAATTTTAGGAGAGCATACGTAGGACAGTTTAATCGTGAATAGTAATGGATTATACTAGTTGACAGGCAGAAGATGTTTAGGAGACCAGAACTAAGAAAGTTAGATCGTGAACAGTAATAGGTTAAACTAGTTGACATGTACAGAATTTTAGGAGAGCATACGTAGGACAGTTTAATCGTGAATAGTAATGGATTATACTAGTTGACAGGCAGAAGATGTTTAGGAGACCAGAACTAAGAAAGTTAGATCGTGAACAGTAATAGGTTAAACTAGTTGACAGGCACAGAATTTTAGGAAAGCATAGGTAGGACAGTTTAATCGTGAATAGTAATGGATTATACTAGTTGACAGGCAGAAGATTTTTAGGAGACCACAGCTAAGAAAGTTAGATCGTGAACAGTAATAGGTTAAACTAGTTGACAGGCACAGAATTTTAGGAGAGCATAGGTAGGACAGTTTAATCGTGAATAGTAATGGATTATACTAGTTGACAGGCAGAAGATTTTTAGGAGACCACAGCTAAGAAAGTGTGATCGTGAATAATAATGGGTTAAACTAGTTGACAGGCACTGAATTTTAGGAGGGCTTACGTCAATAGTAATGGGTTATACTAATTGACAGGCAATAGGTTTTTAGGAGACCAGAGTTAAGAAAGTTAGATCATGAAAAGTAATGGGTAAACTAGTTGACATGCGATATATTTTTAGGAGACTAGGCGAAAGGATAGTAATGATATTAGATTGTGTATACTAATAGTTGAAAGCGACATATTTTCATATAGTGTTTCGTTATAGATACTTTGTACTGTATTTTATTTTGTACAGCATATTTATGTTCCTGTTTATAAATGCGGATGTTCTGTATTGGAAGTAGTTGACAGATTTATCAATATTTGACTGGATGTCCTCGTTAATTACGCGTATTGATTGAAATTGTGTGATCTGAAGGATGCGTTAGATCAATCGGCATGTCGGTATGGCATGTTGTGCTAGAGTGAACGAGTTGAAAGAGCGAGCAGGTTCGTGGCAAAGATGAAAAGTGCATTGTTTACCCCCATATGAAATTCCGGTCGTGATAATAATTCGGAAAACGCCAAGTGGCTCTACTAATTGGAATTGTTCTCGAATATTGGATTTGATATTGAGTTCGTCATGTTTGTAGCCCTCGTTCGGTCTACTAATTGAGATTCGTATGACTGTTTGCTCTGGGGAAATCAGTCAAGCAACTGATTTGTTATTCTGTCGTCGAAACTTCTCTGCGGAATGTATAGTGCATCAGGAACTACTTTGCGTTTAATTTATGTATGTTGGAAAAGATTCTACCTGTGCGCAAGGTGCAATTGATACACCTTCAAGTCATACTGACTATTTATCATCTCGCTCGTTATACAAAGGGTTTTTCAGTTGTGCAATTAATTTATCTAACTCATAACACATTAACATATTTAGTTTCTGTTGAGCCCTCGTATATAACTACGAATATTTCTTTGTGTGGTCTTATAAATAATTTTTATCACTACTTGCGATTATTGTTCGCTTTCCTGACATTGCCATGTCATCAGGCCCCCTTGCTCTACGCCATATGCATATCTTTCTTATATACGATCGTCTTGCGTCGATAAAGAGTGCGATAATAATACTAAAGCTCGTCAGTTTTTTCTTAAAATGTTTGCTTTCATTCTCTATTATCCATTTAATGGTGTAGATCATCTTAAAGTGGAAGTTTGTGTTAGTGCTGGTGTTGAAATGTTCCACTGGTTTTCTACAGGCCAAAATGAGCTTCTATTTCTTTCAAAAATTAATCGTTTTCGGTGAGTGTCAATAATTAAACATGTAAGTTTTCTATACACTAATTACAATTGGAATTGGAACTTAATTATTGTTCAAATGCAATTTCTTTTTGTTTGTTTTTTTTAAATGTATATCTTTTTATAGGTATTGTGTTAACACTAATATACTACATAGTATAAAACAAAGTCGCTTTCCTGCTGTCTGTCCCTATGTATGCTTAAATCTTTAAAACTACGCAACGGATTTTGATGCGGTTTTTTTTAAAGATAGAGTGATTCAAGAGGAAGGTTTATATGTATAATACATGCATAATATAATAGGGAAACACTGATAATTTTAGAGGTTTCTAATGTGGTGTCGTAAATAAACACATTTTTGCGCTTACATTGCAAACGCTGGCTGAACCCTACGAGATAGATCAAAATAATGTACTACAATACTGTACATCTTAAAAGGGTCTATAAAAAAGTCTGCGATGGTATATGTCTATCTCTTAGGGATAACCCACAATAACCATTTTATCCTTTACTTTTTATGAGAAATAATGACTTATTTACGAAGCGATTGTAGCCAATACAGCATTAATTCTTATCCAGTTAAGTACTTTTAAATACATTGTGCATTTAATATAGATCAATATGGCCCTTTACAGCATGTAATTTAAATGAATATTTTCGAAGATATTACAGACTTAAAATGCAGGGACATAGCGGTTGCGGCGGTACCGGCAGGGGGGCCAGTTGTACATAAAGACATTCTGTACTATATTTAGTATCAGCATTGCACCCGTGCGAAGCTGGGACAGGTCGCTAGTTTTTTGATAAAAGCCGATTGGACCAAAAGTATTTACGTCGAATGTATTGATTTTATTAAAAATATGTATGTTGAAACAGAGTTAGTGATTTATTCTATTATTTTTTTTGTAGTTGCATTATTTAGGATTAAGATAACAAGATACTTCTTGCATTATTATTAAAGTAGTAAAGCTCCCNGTTCAGGGGGTATCTTTTGAAGATTTCCCCTTTTTGATAATAATCGAAACAAAACAAAAATATATTTAGTATCAGCGTTGCACCCATGCGAAGCTGAGGCGGGTCACTAGTCATAAATAAAATACTAACATATTACTTTATTTTACATTTTAAAAACAGTTAATATACAGGTGGTGATCTAAAATTAGGAACTTAAGGTTATAAATACATATACATGGTTTATATCTTAACATTGTGTATGCATACTTATAATTATTATACGAGAAAATACGGTAAATAAAGATATTGGGATTTTCTTTTGAAATGGTGGTAACTTAAGAGTTGTAAGAGAATCATGTAGATGAACCGATTTTTTTTCAGGAAAACATATGCGTGACTTTGGATATTATCTTCCTTAATTGTTTTATTATTAAATGAGCTTTATTAAGTACTTATTTTGGCGTTCTTCGTTAGCAGACTTCACTGTCAAGCTTTATTTTTATAATTTACGAAATACATAATAATAAGATCGTACAGTTACAATAAACTTTATGTTCTAGTAACAAAGAGCGATTGATAATGAATTAACAATATTTATGTGGCACTGGGTTTTAAGTAAATTTTTCATAAACTTACTCATCATTGAATATATTTTCCAGTAATTCTCTTGTAATTGAACGATGAGGTTGAGCTGGATCCACTTTAGGCCTTCCATATAATCTTGCGTTGATTAGATACAATCTGATAATAAAAATAAGCAGGAATTAATAGCTAGATAATTTTTGCAGAAGTGTGCTATCTTAAATACTGAAGGAGAATGGGTTAATGTATAAACAAATTACAATAAATTGCAAATAGGGTCTTATTAAGGCATTATACAATATACAATATACAATAGGACAGTTTAATCGTGAATAGTAATGGATTATACTAGTTGACAGGCAGAAGATGTTTAGGAGACCAGAGCTAAGAATGTTAGATCGTGAACAGTAATAGGTTAAACTAGTTGACAGGCACAGAATTTTAGNATCGGAGTTATAATTAACTTTTCTGTTTTACTGGTTTTAATTGGTTACATATACGAATTTATCTTATTTTATTATGGACATATTGTTCTAATGTATTTTTTTTTATCTTGACAATTGGCCTTCTATGGAGCGAATGTTGTTTTTTTACTCTATATTTGAATTATTCACTGTATTCACACTTAAATGTTGTAATTCCCTAATTAGAAAGGATTTTTATAAGTTTGAAAGTAACTTTTATTTAGAGCAGTTCAAGTTATTCATCAGTAATTTATCGAAGCTATCGATTTTATTAGATCTCATCGGCACGCTTTAGATTATCTCAATGAATTGCCGATCAAATCGATAAAGCACTTTAAAAGCAGTTGTTTTATTGTTCGTTGCGATCGTTTCGCAACGCTCTAACTTCGTCAGGTGAAATAGTTATTATGCGAAACTGTCAAGAATAATTTAGAAACTTATAAAAGTCTTGTGTGTTATATGAAATAATCCATTTCTTATTTATATTTTTTGTGATATTGAACGTATTTCTAGTAGGTACATAAAATTTTAGTATTTTGCGGCTTCTGTTTTCTTCGTATAAAGTTCGGCGTATCGCATCAATTGTAATTTAAAGCTCTGTAATGGACGTGCGGTATTTAGACTATGACACGAGCCCTAGAAGGAATGTAACCATTTTTGCCATTTACTGACAACTAAAGCGGACGGAAATAACGTTTCATTAATTTAATTACTGCAATTTAGAGGCAGTTAAATGGCGATCGTTTTCGCGTTATCAAATCGCGAAAAAAAGGAGCTATCTTCGCTTATAGAAACTGACTTTTATTTATTATTTTTAACCATACTGTATAATATGTTTTTAACAAGTTTGCTATTTAATAAACCTTATAAGGTTGCATCGACCCGTAATAGTATTTACAAGCATGAGACCGACTTTAAAATATACTTGAACGCTTCGGCTACCTTTGTTTATACTTAAACGTAAACTTGTTCGATTTATACTGAACATATTTAGATAATACCGAAGGTACTTTCTCCCTTATTTATTGTCTGTCATATTCGTAAAGCTTTTTAATAACTTTTTAAGCTTTGGAAATGATGTAGTGTTGTGGAATGCTAAAAAAAGAAATTACTTTTTGCTCAGTTCGCATCTGACGTTGAACCACCAATCGCATGAAAACACAAACTGGTTAAATTGGGTCCCATTTGGACATAGAAAGGTCGTTTGTCGACCGTCTATGTCGCAATAATGCCAGCTTTGACACCGCGTTTCCGGATCGGCGAAGAATCCCGGAAACGGCTGATTATCGCAGTAAAAGTTCGTATATGGAATCGTTCCTAGTACCGGATAATCAGTTCCTGGCCGACCTGAAACATAAAACTGTTTTACTTTCTTTATTGACACTTCATTTTGAATCATCGGAACTTTTAGTATATTTTTTTCAGTATTTATTGTAACGGAAACGGAATGTATTTTATGTTGCAATTAAATTAAAATTTTAGAGCTCCCATCAATAACGTTTATCACTTTAAACGGTGGAGAGCGACAATGTTTAAAAGATAGGGCCGAAAAACGAGTGGCTGCCGTCAGCTTCATGTAGCGAGAAGCTGCTGCTTGTGGCCTCTATCGTCCGGTGTGTTCGCTTCTAGAAGCGGCCACAATTGGCCAAATGTGCATGCGGTTTAAAGATACAGAACGTTCACAATTAATATGATTGCTTTTGTTTTCCCATTTCTGTCTTTGGCACTACCAGATGGGAATTGTAATGTTAATATGTTAAAACCATTCCACTTTAAACGGCGAGGAGCGACAGTCTTTTAAACGTTTAAGGTGGAAAACGAGTAGCTTCATGTGGCGAGAAGCTGCTGCTTGTGGCTCCTATCGCCGTGGTGTGTTCGCTTCTAGAAGCGGCCACAATGGGCCAAATGTGCATGCGGTCTAAATGTACAGAACGTTCACAATCATTATGATTGCTTTTGTTTTCCCATTTAGCCCTGCCTTTGGCGCTACCAGATAGAAATTGTAATGTTAATATGTTAAAACCATTCCACTTTAAACGGTGAGGAACGAGAGTCTTTTAAACGTTTAAGGTGGAAAACGAGTAGCTTCATGTAGCGAGAAGCTGCTGCTTGTGGCTCCTATCGCCGCGGTGTGTTCGCTTCTAGAAGCGGCCACAATTGGCCAAATGTGCATGCGGTCAAAAGGCGCAGAACGTTCACAATCATTATGATTGCTTTTGTTTTTCCCATTTGGCCCTGTCTTTGGCACTACCAGATGGAAATTGTAATGTTAATATGTTAAAACCATTCCACTTTAAACGGCGAGGAGCGACGGTCTTTTAAACGTTTAAGGTGGAAAACGAGTAGCTTCATGTAGCGAGAATCTGTTGCTTGTGGCTCCTATCGCCGTGGTGTGTTCGCTTCTAGAAGCGGCCACAATTGGCCAAATGTGCATGCGGTCAAAAGGCGCAGAACGTTCACAATCATTATGATTGCTTTTGTTTTCCCATTTGGCCTTGTCTTTGGCACTACCAGATGGAAATTGTAATGTTAATATGTTAAAACCATTCCACTTTAAACGGCGAGGAGCGACGGTCTTTTAAACGTTTAAGGTGGAAAACGAGTAGCATCATGTAACGAGAAGCTGCTGCTTGTGGCTCCTATCGCCGCGGTGTGTTCGCTTCTAGAAGCGGCCACAATTGGCCAAGTGTGCTTGCGGTCAAAAGGTGCAGAACGTTCACAATCATTATGATTGCTTTTGTTTTCCCATTTAGCCCTGTCTTTGGCGCTACCAGATGGAAATTGTAATGTTAATATGTTAAAACTATTCCACTTTAAACGGCGAGGAACGACGGTCTTTTAAACGTTTAAGGTGGAAAACGAGTAGCTTCATGTGGCGAGAAGCTGCTGCTTGTGGCTCCTATCGCTGCGGTGTGTTCGCTTCTAGAAGCGGACACAATTGGCCAAATGTGCATGCGGCCAAAAGGCGCAGAACGTTCACAATCATTATGATTGCTTTTGTTTTCCCATTTAGCCCTGTCTTTGGCACTACCAGATAGAAATTGTAATGTTAATATGTTAAAACCATTCCACTTTAAACGGTGAGGAACGAGAGTCTTTTAAACGTTTAAGGTAGAAAACGAGAAGCTTCATGTAGCGAGAAGCTGCTGCTTGTGGCTCCTATCGCTGCGGTGTGTTCGCTTCTAGAAGCGGCCACAATTGGCCAAATGTGCATGCGGTCTAAAGATACAGAACGTTCACAATTAATATGATTGCTTTTGTTTTCCCATTCCTGTCTTTGGCACTACCACATGGGAATTGTAATGTTAATATGTTAAAACCATTCTATTTTAAACGGCGGACAGCGACAGTGTTTAAACGTTTAAGGTGGAAAACGAGTAGCTTCATGCGGCGAGAATCTTCTGCTTGTGGCCCGAATAGACTACAGCTATCGCCGTGGTGTGTTTGCTTCTAGAAGCGGCCACAATTGGCCAAGTGTGCTTGCGGTCACTACCACATGGGTATTGTAATGTTAATATGTTAAAACCATTCCACTTTAAACGGCGAGGAGCGACAGTCTTTTAAACGTTTAAGGTGGAAAACGAGTAGCTTCATGTGGCGAGAAGCTGCTGCTTGTGGCTCCTATGGCCGTGGTGTGTTCGCTTCTAGAAGCGGCCACAATTGGTCAAGTGTACAAGCGGCCAAAAGGCGCAAATGCTTACAATCATTTTGATTGATTTTTGTTCTCCCATCTGGCATTACCTTTAACTGCTATTGGACATTCATGTGGTCACATTTGTGACTTGAAAAGTTTCTTGTTGCATAGTTATTCTGTGTATATTGTGTATATTAAGCATACCTGGGATTGCCTTTCCAAGTTCTAAATATTCTTGCACGGATGGACTCAAAAATCCTACTGGCGTGTCAATATTCGTTAGCTGATTGTTTCTTTCATCTGAATAGTCATAATTGTCGTCCTGTGGAGGAGGGAATTTCGTCTCCTTTTTTCTTACTCTTGCATCTGAAAGGAAAGTATAATTATAAATAGTTGATTGTCATTTGTTCTCACGATTTCTGAACAGTGCATTAGAATGTAATTCATTTCTTCACTACCTTTCACTCATATGACGTTCCAGGTACAACTATCTACAAGTTTAAAATTTCGCGAACTATTTTCTTCTTTGTTTTTTTTTTTGTTATTGGTGTCTTCTCTAGGTAACTTTCTATTGTCTTAAATATGTGGGCGTTAATAGTTTACAGTGACTGTAGGTGAATTCTAAGAAATGACAAAGAAACAATGGCTTGTCCCACAAAAAAAATGATGAAACAATTTTTAAATCCTAACCGTGGTCGAATATTGTGACATTTTATTATGCATAATGAATTAATAGTAATTAAAATGTCGCACTAGAATTCGCTGAATTAAATCATATAGAAACATATTTTTTATTTTAAGGTTAGGTCTTTCGGAAAAGACAAGAAATATTTGACAAACTGTGCCATTGTGTATGGTGTTGTCACCCATACAGAGCGTTTCTGAATCGAACCTAATTACGTAATTCCTTTATTATATAAATACGTGGTTGGGTCAATGTTAGGCAGAGGTATAATTAAGCAATTTTAAATATAAGAAACTGATTGCAAATGTATTGAGTTGCGGTTAAAATCTTTATGCATTTTATGTTTTGGCCTAGACGAGTTGAACGATTTGTGCTAAAAAGACATTCAAATTTGAAGATCAAGTTCATTTGGGATTCAAGCAAGCATATAACATGCTAATTTATTTTTATATTACGTAAAAACATATAAATATGCAATGCTAGAAAAAAAATCGTAAATATTTGAAGAGATACAAACAAACAGCGTAAAATAATTATGATTTAATGAAAATGTGTTGACTGTTATAACTAGATCAATAAATATAAATAAAATTGAAGTCTTAAAAAAATTTTTGTCTGCATGGGGGTCTGTTTCTACAGGCTAATCTTTGAAATGACTGAACCCATTTCAATTGGACTTGAAAGGGTGGTCGTCAAAAGTGATTTTCTTTATTGATCATAATTATAACCCAAGTTTCACATGGACGAAATTACTAATAAATATTATTAATATTACGTGCATACGAATTTGTTTTTCGTCTTTTTTTTTGCCTTCCATTCATGTTTATTATAAAGTTATATATACGAGTCATCGTGATGTTGAATGATGCGTATAGCTACCGTACCCAATGGGCACTTTCTAAACCAAACCGCTGTACCACATTGTTAATGTCTGCACGTATCTTTATACGTATGCATACATATGTGTAAGTGGTTATTTACCTATATTATATCTATTTAAGTACATACATATGCAAAAGTTACTATGTAACTATTAGCACACCTAGGAATTTATATCAGTAGCAGATCTACATCTACGAAACTATTATTAATTTTATTTTGGCGAAATTGCTTTTTACTGTAGCCACAATACCTATAATATATATATATATA